ATACTTCTATCGATAAAGCACCCTCAATGCAATGTTCTAAAAATTCTTCATTTATGGTCACTGTAAAATCTTTGACGTGTTCAAACTTAAAAATCATATTTTGATCATGTGCTGGTACTTCAGCATTTATAACTGGCACAACTGTTTCTTGATGGCCCCAAAAGGTATATTGACAGAATACAAAATTTGATAAGGAAAGTGGCAACCCTGACGCACACTTTATTGAGACGCGACAAGTAATTTGATTTGCCATTGGATCAACAACATCATCATAATCATCACGTGAATCAGAAGACGATTCCGAAATTGATTCACACATACGATCCTGTGGCATTTGACCAGCAATGCGTTGTATTTCAACTTGAAGTCGACCAGCAACTTCGCCTTGTTGACTTATAATAGGAGTATGATAATCTAGTTTAACGTCATGAAATAGTACTTCCAAAAATATGTTAGCAACGCCAATAAGATTATGATTTTCTTGAGACTCGTAGAAAGGATCAAGGGATTTTGAATTTTCACTATCCTGTAAATAAAATTAATTTAATTATTAACGGAGTACAAATTAAATTGCCATTAAAATGTTTTATTTATATATATATAAATGATACATATGAATAATTGAATATAATTACCTCGTCACAATCTTCATCATCGGAGAAAGTCTCAATTAGAGGCTTTGGTATATCGTAAGCAATGCAAAAATGAGGTTGAAAATTATGTTAGTAAGACGTGTAAACAATAATATGCGTAAAAGTGAAGTTAAGTGAGTTTTTACAACAATAAATGTACTTCTAAACGTATCAACAATTAAATATACTTACCAAACCATTTAGTATTCTTTCTTTATGATCTTGATACATTTCTCGCATATCAATTAGTTTGTTTTCCAATTTTTCCATGGTCCAAATTTGACTACCAGAGTTAATACGTTTAACCAAAATTGCTGGTTCACTCACAAATGCACCACGCTGTTACAGATTTAAGAGTTATTCATTTTATTAATTAAAGTATATGTTATTTTTAATTATATTACCCTTCGATTTGGACTTAAATTAGCAGGAGGAATTTGCAAAGTTACTGAAAACTTTGTTTTCTTTTCCATTTCTTCAGCTAAAAAGTTAGCTTCTTGCACCGAAGCATTTGCACGCATTATATCATTTTTGAGTTGACCCAAAGAACGTTTGAACATTTCATCACGTTCCTGAAAACGAATGAAATTTATTTATTCGAATTCAAATTTATAAAACAATATTGAATAAATATTACCTGTGCCCACTTTTCAACACGCATTTGAGAAGTTGGAGTGTTTGGTGTAATTTTACCTAAGCGCAGCGGATCACAAGGAGTATATGGTGCATACGGTGTGGTTGGTGAGAGTATGTTGCGTAGTTGTTGAAATTGTCTCTCATATTCCTAAACAAAATTAAACACGTTAATACATATACATGTATTTTTTCTTAATATATTGCTTTACGTACTTGTCTTTGCTTTTCTAAAGCAACTTGTTTGTCTTCTTCATGTTGTCTTTCTAAGCGTGCTATAGCTGTTTGTATGGGATCATTGCTAAGTTCATTTTGCATTATTTCATCTCTTGCAAAATTATAATCAATTAATTGTGCTGGTGTCTGCGGCTCAGAGGTCATATTAGCATTTGCGCATTTTGGACAATTTACACGGAAAAAATGATGATTACCCCATAATATACGGTCACCGTTGTGTAAAGGTGTTTTTTCCAACACTGCAGAACCATTTACAAAACAACGTGCGCCCTGTATAGGATCCATCAACAAACCACCATCTTCGATTGTTATCACACAGTGCTCTGGCTGTATACCTAATCCAGATAATTGTATATCAGGTTGTGGGCCAGATATGCTATGGCCGCCAATTAAAGTACGTTCCTGCATTTAAATAAAATAAATGAATTATTTTTTGTTGCTTTTTTTTTTTTTCAAAATTCATATATAAACCTACCTTAAGATAATAAACTAACAACTCATTGAGGGACGGATCAGCATTCAAATTTACTAAATAATATTTATTTTTTTCTACTTTAATACCACTCGCTTGCACACTAATTCCCATTTTCTCTAAAGCCTGTTGACGTTCGTTTTGTATACGTTCAGTTTTGACCAGTTTTTCTTCCCAGGTTTGAGAAATTTGTTTCATGAGATTTTCACTTTCTGCGAGTTTGTCATGTATATCAACACGTTGCACATCACCAACTGGAGAACCTGTAGCATGTTTAAGCATATTACGCAAAGTTTCCACTTCAAGTCTGAGTTCTCGTATAATGCGGGCATTTGGATCCTCATTGACGACAGCGTGATTGACAATACGTTTAGCACGATCAGCATAACGCAATGTCGATAACGTTTCTTCATAATTATCTCCTGAGGGCGAAATTGTGGCAACCATTACTGTTTTTGAGTTTCCACCCAAATTGTCTTTGAGAAGCCACGTTAGTACAGAGTCGCGGTAAGGTACAAATTTATCATTGCTGCCTTTTTTACCACTCGATTGATCGGCTAATTTTGAAATAACTAAACCTAAGGTGGTTAAAGATCTGCAAAGAGAAATTATATATTTATAATTTACAATATAATACAAAATTTTGTTTAGAAATAAATGAAACTTTAATTACTTGTTAATATTAGAGCCTTCTTTTAAACGTTCTCCTACAGCGCCTGTTTTGACAGCACGTTCTGAACCAGCTAAATCTACCAAGGACATACGTGATACCTTTTCACCACTCACTCCAGCTGCTTGATCTGTAAGTATTTGTGTCAGCACCACAGAGAATACTGCATGTGAGCGCGAAGATTCCGCATTCATATTTGTGGCAGCTACAGTACGTGATTTATTGCCTTCAGTCATCAAATTATCAATGTCCTTTAATATATAACAAAATTATTAGTTATTTTGTATATAAATATATAGTTAAATATATACTAAATATAAATATAAACAAAAATATATATTTAAATATAAATATATATATAACATAAATATAATATAATATATATATATTATAAATATATATACAAATATAAATAAAAATTAAAATATATAATATATGATATGAATATAAATAAAAATATAAATTTAGTTATAAATATGTACATAATTCACATATAACTAAGAATTCGTATTTACCTTATAAGATGTAACTGCAAGTTGTGAGAGACCATCAACATAGGGTCCAAGCACATTATGTTCACGCACCTTAAGCGATTGTTTATTTGGTTTTGGATCAAGTAAATCGTGTACTTTTTCATTGTAAATTTCCATATAGGAGACTTCAACTTTACACATGAGATCTTGTGTTGTTTTATTGGCAATAGCCAAAAACAGTTCATCACAGAGACGTGGAATTATGCCTTTAGATTCTTGCGTACCCATCATGGTGTAGGATTTACCAGAACCTATAATAGATAAAAAAAAATAAATTAATTACGCCCATAGTTGGTTACTCTCTTTTTTTTTTTTTATTTTGTACTTATAATTCACAATATAACAATTTCATTTCCGGCACTCAATAATAATAATGATTCATCAAAAGCTATAATGCAAAATATTAAGTAACATGCTTTAATACTTTCCTGTCTGTCCATAGGCAAATATACAGGCGTTGTAACCTTGGAATGCATTATCAAGTATATCACGTCCTACGCAATCGAATACTGTTTCTTGTGAGGCAAAATTACCATCATCAGGATTTAGTGAATAGAAACAATGGTCGAATGCAAATGTCTTTGGATTTTTTCTATAATGATTGAAAAATGAATAAAAAAAAAATTATAATACAAAAGAAGAATAATAAATTACAATATTAAATTGCTTATATATACTTTTATATGAAAGTGTATATATAACACAAGTATACGCATATAAAGTAGAAATTAAATTTTTATATTTTAAATTGAAATAGGAAAGACGGATTTTAATCGATGTGACATTTTGTGTTGAATTTAATATAAAATCTGCATATTTACATACCTATCCATTTTATCCAGGGATGGTTGGTTCTGTAATATAGTCTGCTGTTTGTCCATATCGACAATACATTTTGTTCCAAGTTCCATTTCTGTAAACATGAAATATATTGTTTAATAAAATTTTATTTAAGATAATAACACATAATATATCTATTAATATATCTATAATTAAAATACTAAGAACTTAAAGTAAGAAATAATATATATTAAGAAAAAAAAAAGCTTTAGTTAAAATTTGATTTTAGAGCTATAATGAAATTATGTACCTATAAGTTTAAATAATTAACTCCTCGGATTAATGATGGTTTAATTTATTTTCTAGTAGGAAATATCAACACAATAAATTAAAATGCCATTTTTCAAAGTTATAAATCCAAATAGACTTACTATAGAGCCTATTTCAATTACGTAATATAGTCTAAAATCTGAGTGTATGAATTAAGCCAATATAATAGATACTTTATTGTAAGCATGACTTAAGTCAGTATTAAGAATTAAGTTACCACTGTGAAATCGGTCCTTGATGTTTCATATTCTTACCACATTTGCAAAAGCAAATGAATATTATACAAGATGCATTTTAAAGTAGAAACAGCTTTAATATATAAGAACAAAAAATAGATTTTTTCGGCAAAACCCATCCATTCTTTTCAAAACAATCTCCCTTTTGATTAAATACAACGATGTGAATATGCACGGTCTGAAAGTATATTGGATAAGTTTTTTAAATCGTTGGACATCATGTCGGTCAGGATATACGTACATGCCTTTTAATCGGTCCTACGCACATAAAGATGTTTCTTTTTAATGGAGAATACAATTTTTGAAGTGGTTAAAGTAGCAAGATGTTAAATCAAGTGAATAAAGGAAATCTGTGTAAAATTGGGTCATCAATTGTAACGTTGCGAGAATATTAAAACAAAACTTAATATGAATATAAGCCTTTTATTCTATGAACATTTTTGTACCTATAACACAAACATGAATCATTCAAATGTTATGAAATTTTAAAAGTACATCAGTTAAGAATCTACCTTACCGACACATATTATTGCTAAAATTGCTGTTACGGTTCAGCTTAATTCATTTCATTTTGTGGATTCTAATTTTTTTCATTTCTTTGCAAAAAGTGAAACTTCATCGGAAGTCTTAAATGGTATTTAGTCTTCGAAGAGACTTCTTCTCTTAATTCTTAATGGATTACCTTTGGGAAACTACATTATTGTGTTAAAGTTTCGTTATGACAAAATTATCTATTTGGTAAAAATAAATATAGCAAAAGATAAAACATCTATCTACTCAAAAATAAGCCAGGTTTAAAAAAGAAACTATAAGAAACTTAAAAACAAGAACTGACCATTTATATACTCATTTATAAGTATTGTTTAATTTTTTTTTGAACTTTTAAGATTCTAAGGAAACACGAAACTAATGAAGTTTATATATATTACATTCATTCTATAAATTTAACAGAATTATATTTAAAAAATATCTATATCTATAAATATCTATTTAAATTTAAAAAATATCTATATAGAGTATTGTGTTAATATCACTGAATTTTTGGTGTGAAATATACATGGATGGAACCTTATGAAAAAAGGTAATCAAAAATTAAACATGATACATTAAATTATATAAATGGCTCTAACAAATTGTATTCATATTAATCACGAAATAAAGCTCCTTTAAATCACTCATATAAGCAGTCAGTCAGAGTTCTAGCTACTAGCATTCAAAACGCTAAAACATATAAATAAAAAAGTGCCAGTTAAAAGCACTATATATAAAAAAATAATATATAAATGCTAAAGACAAGAAAATCCACAGATTATCATTATTATTATTATCAATAACAAGAAGTCCATTTTGTTGTTTTAAAGAACCAACCTTTATAAGACAATTGTCTTAATTATATGATATTCTAACCTTTAGTTTACAAGTTAGAATGGTTTTTATATGAAACAATTTGTATATTCAAAATAAAATAGAAAATTTTTTGATATGTTAATTAAATGTTGCTTTTTGTCAGAAGAATATATAAAGCGCAAGAGCTTTATAGATTCTGCCTTTGCCTTAGGAAAAAAAATTATCACTTATTCATATGAGAACAAGTGAGAACAGTGTATTACGTTATTTTATTATGGTAATAAAATTCCATATAATATATTTTCAATATATATAAATTACACTCATAAAAATTCATTTTATATAAAAATAAAATAAGCACAACTTTTTATTGGTTGAAATATGATACGATAAAATATTGTATTGAAATTGAGGCTTATCGAAAAATTATCTAATATTATCTACAGACTGACGGTATCTGAACGTATTATTTAATATTTATTTTTTTTTTAAGTAAAAGTTAAGATAAGTTTAGTAAATTGTTTGATAAGAAGATGAAAAATGTTTACTTAACGTTTACGAAGCAAACGTTTTAAGCAATTTTTTATTATGAAAGTAAATGTATTTATAGAGATAAACATAATTTTAATTAATTACATTACATAACATATAATATTTGTCTATGTATTTTATTTGTAGCGCATATGCATTTGAAAACGAAACTTTGTTGTGAAAAATATTTTGACAACTCTTTTAAAAGAAATAAGAAAAATAAAACAGAGGAAAATTAGGAAAATAGATAATATAACTGGTAATAGTGTTTTCTACATTGATAAGCTTTATATTATATAAGATACATAAGTGCAGATAGCTATATGGGTGTTAAATGAATCAGTTCATGTCAACCAGTTAAAGTACTCACATAATTTGCCCATAACTCCACTTCTATTACTGTTTACTATTACTGTTATGCCAGTTCTCAGCTATATAGTAAGCAGAAAGTACAATCGGACCATGGTATTACAGGCAAGTTAATGATGATAAATTATTTGTTAGGAATATGGAAGATTTAAACAATGAATACAGAAGTTCAGGGCAGAGGCATACATCAGTTGAATATTAGAATTGTTTTTGTAATATCTGACAATTATATAAAAATCTAAAGGTTTGAGGTGTAGAGTTGTATTTTAGGCACAAATTAGAAATATATTATTTCTAATAAGCAATTGTTCAGAAGGTTACAACCTGACATAAATTGGACCATAATAGTTCTTGTTGTTCAAAGGAGTGGTCTTGTCAATTTAGGAATAGTAGACGATAGTAGCTTGTAAAAAAACGAAGTGCTAAGCTAGGTATCAGTGTGTAGGGCGGAAACCCTTTGTTAGTACTCTATGCTAGATGTTATTTTTCCGTTACATTAATTTTTTATGTGTGCATAATGCAAATATATTGATTGACTCAATGGAACTGTAAGTGTTGCTCTAAGAGCAGTTTTTTAACAGTAGCTGATTATTTGTGTTCTAGGAGCGGCTGAAATAATGCAACAAAACCAAGTCCCAGTTTTAATTTTCTTTGAGATTCGGCTGCATATGTAGTATAGAATATGTTATATATAAAATGAAAATTATTAACTGGATAGACTTTATTTTAGAACTCAAGGGTACTGTGATATGATTGCCTCTTTTTTTTAGCACGAAAGAGAGAAAGAGAGATTTAATACAAGATATTTTTCATCAATAAATTTTTTCATTTCAGATGATGTATTAGATGATATGCCTGGTATTAATACAGTGTAGACTAGTGGAACAAGGTAAATCATGGTTAGAAGGAAATAGCAACGAATAAATGAAATTGCAACACAAAGAAAATGAGTTGACTGGACAGTACCAATGAAGTGCCTAGTAAAATACGATGTCTCTAATTGACGATACTTGTCGAAAAATATAACAAGTTAGAGGCAAATATGGTATATATAAGTTTTTTAAACCTCCAAAAAATAAATGCCTCTATTTGATGTTACTTGGCGGTGGATGAAACAAGATAAAAAGAAATATAGTGGATATATTTAAGACTTGATTTTGACTGTTGTCACATCGATGCTTAATAAATATCGCATGTACAATAGAGTAATAGTATGTTTCTACTGGTTTCGTTAGGCCAGTTAACTTACTTGAGATTGCTTGAATTACTTGAATATCTCAAGTAAGTTAATTGGTTTAACGAAGTCAGTGGAAACGTACTATAAGATATATTATTGCGAGATCATTTATATTCAATATATTACACTAAAAGATTACAACCTTTATGATCACTTTTTTATAATAAAAAAATTTAAATAAAATTTTAATTTGTTGAATTTTCGACAAAAAATATTGTAAAAAAATAATGGTGGAATATACGTGGATAATATACACATGTTATATGGTAATAGGAATATGACGGAATGAAAGAGCGGTAAGAACTTAAATACGTATATCATGTCTTATCATTGACATATAAAAAATTGATAAAATTATGTGTCACAATTTAGGTAATTTCTCGACCAATAAATTTAAGTATTTGGTAATTACGAGTATACTATATACGTTCGTTATAAATAGTTCTAGTATTTGCTAATTATAGCAGTTTAATGAATGATACTAAGATATTTAATAAAGCCACATAGTTTTTGTTAAATATGGATTATAAAAGCCCTATTTATATTATTTTGTAATAAAATGGCAGTTTAATGAATCATACTAAGATGTTTAATAAAGCCATATAGTTTTCTGTTCAACTTAGAGTACAATAAAATGATTATAATTGAATAAATGTTATTTAATGTAGGTAATATTAAACTTTGTTTCTAAT